ATTTGACTCCACTTCACTCTCCTTGTTAATTATTAACACTAGCCTTTTTATCCTCATGAGACCACATTCCAATTTTTCCTTTGTCGATTTTTATGAGCCCATCTTTATGAAGGTGAAAGTCTTAGAGAACAGTTTTTCACTTAGTGTAGAGCCCGGACATTTATTATTCGTTGAGGCAGAGACGCTGTGACATTGATTATATAAGCACGGGTGTTCTTCAGGATGGCTTTAATGTGCTAGCAATGTGAAAGGGCTGTTAATTAAAGAAGCAGCACCGTGGCATTTTTCACTTGGGAATCAGTTCCCAATAGAATGGTCATTTGCCACTTGCTAGCATATCCACAGATTAAAAGGTGACTAGCACTGAGAGTTTGCCTTTCGGTAGTGCTGAAAGAAATGATTTGTGCCATTTGCAGATGGCTTTCATTTGTCAGAAGTGGTCACTTGCCTTGTCTATTCTCCATGGGGCAACTGTGGAAAATAGTGTGCAAGAGGAGAATCTATTTGTAGTAGCTATAGCGTCATTTAATATCATTTAACTACTGTGCTAATTGCTTCATTATGAAAACATTTACTTCCCCTCAGTCTTAATATATCTTCCATTCAAAATTGTTTCCTCAGATACCATTTGCAGTGATTGCCCATCTAACTATCTCTCTAGTTGGGGTAGTGGATGGGATGGGTAGAGGTAGGGTAGAAGGCAGGCAAGAGCTTGGTCTTTTTTTTTTTTTTTTGCTAGAAATGGAGCCTGAGTTTGTTTTCCTCACCAACTTTGCTCTGGGAATCAGTGGGTGAGGCTGTGAGGGGTGAGAGATTGGGGACAGTTGCTAAAAGTGTGGTGCAGCTGGTGCTCTTCCCTTGAGGAGGCCCACTTTTCATCTCCCAGGGTTCTTAAGGCTACAACTTGCTCCAATCATGGCTAGCTGTATGCAAAGACACAAACCTCACACATAGGTGCTTTTTACACCTTAAAATAGAAACCAAATTTGAAGTCTCAGTCCCTCTCCCCACTAATTAATCAGTCCCTTGAAATCTTGTCACAGATGTTGTCTAACATATATGCTAAGACAATACACACATTCTTATTGCACCATTTAACCAACTCTTTCCCTCTGCCTCTTACAAATCAATACACTATATGTATTTTCTGAGTCAGAAAAAAAAAGTTGAAGGAATCTTCCTTAAAAATATTATATTACTTTTATAAATGTCTCCAGAATCTGCTTTGTTAAATTCTGTGGAATGAAAAGGAACTGATGACCAAGTGATCAGGTCCCAATCCACCTTCATCCCTCATTGCCCAGTGGCAGGCCCCTGCCCCAGTTCACCCGAAAATGAAAAAGCCAAAAGATAAACGGCCATTTCAAATATCAAAGCATTAAGATTTGAATAAAAGAAAGATTAAATAACCTATGGGACTATCTAAATTATTTATCAGAAAATACACCTTAGCTATAAAGCTTTCAAGCCATGAATAAAGTACAAATTCTAGTATCTCTATTCCTCTCCATAATTTCAAATTTTGGAAAAGCAACATAAATATAAGACTAATTATTTATTAGTAATATTTAGTAATTAGTAGTTTTAGTAATGACTGCAATAATTGGCAGGAAATACAAATTATTTATTAGTAATAAATTCCAATCATTTAAAACCTCTATATAATTAACAGTGTATCTTCTGTAACACAGACACAGACACACACACACACACACACACACACACAGACATGTCTATGTAAGTAAGCACTGTTATTAAGAAAATTATTTCCCTTTACAAGATTGAGTTGTAGAACTGGCTAGTTTAAGATGTAATTAATTGGGATTTGGACTATAACTCAACATGGCAAAAACTGATACCATGGCTGTTATGTAAAGGTCTCTTTTCAAGGAGGACTGAAAGGACAGACCATACTTCCTCAGAGGGTTTCAAAAGGACAGCTTAGGTTGACATTGAACATTTGACTTGAATTCACCAAATCTCTGAGTGTCTAAGGCATTTAAAAAAAAATAAACACATAATTATTAACAATATTCTTCATTACCATCAAGGGTGACAGTAACATCTAGAAAAGTTTTGCATTATTAGCCACTGAGATATGACTTAGTGGTGTTGGTTTTGGAAGGAGAATGAGTCTGGGGTGAAAGTTACTGCTTTCTTTTTCAATTCCCCAGATCACACCCTTCTCCCAGTACTGAAAGGAAATTATGGCACTGGGGAACTTTTCTATTTACCTCACTACATGAAAGAGATGTTTTTCTCAGAAATAATTGATGTTTTCTAAAATCTGTTAACCACTGCAAAATCAAAGATGGGATCTAAAATTGAGAGTGCTTGAAAGAGGTCAGTAATACACTCTTCTCTATTCCAATTGTGTATTGTACAAGAAACTACCATAAAATGATACTCTCTGTATTTAATAGTAGTCAATGTTCTGAAATATCACCAAACAGGAGTGGAATATGATATGCTTGTGAATTAAATATTTCCAAATCTAGCTGAAAATTTAAATTTTGTGGTTTTCCTTTTGATATCTCATGAATGTATACTTGAAAGAACCCTTCTTAAAAGCAAATATAAAATGATGTTAATATATTGGAGTTGTAGTAATGGTTTCCCAGGAAAATTTATTTAAAAATCTACAAAATATTTTGTTTCCTCTATAAAACAAACTCTAATAATCCAAGAAAGTTCATTAATTCATCACCTTTACTAATTGCTTGTGAACAATAAATACCCTTGGTTGATTCTTGAGTTTTTATTCAAATGGAGAAAGTAGTGTACAAACAAAAATCTGACATTTTTTTATTTAGGGACTTAATGCATAACACATGCATTAAATTTTGGCATTAGGCATATTGTTATACATGTGCTGAGGCAGTATAAATCACAGACATATGATTTGTTAGTAGAACATGAATGACAGGAGGCTGGGAAAGGAAGAAGGTCACGGAAAGTATGCGAGCTGGCAGGAGGGACCCAAATTGGATCTTCAAAACTAACTGTGGCAGATATGCAGAATGAACAATTCACATGGGATAATTAAACATGGGTCTTTGCAACTTCTGAGAGCAGGCATTGTGGATGAATCTGAAGTAGGAACTGCTGCTGATTCTTTGGCTTCTAATAAGCATCCTTTAGAAGTGAAGCTAGATAGAGCAAATAAGATGACAGAAACTGAAGACTGAAATTTTAGACTGAAAACTAAGATTATCTATAATATCTATTTAGCATCTGTGGTATGTGAATTATCATTTTATTTATCCTCATCACCAATGACATTGTGGATGCTATTATTCTCTTTCTGTTACAAATGAAGAGCCTAAGCTGAGAGGTTAAGCTATCGCTAAACGTCAAGGAGTAAATGGCAGAGAGATGAATCTTTTAGGTACTCAAGCCCATGGAATTAATTACTATCACATGATGCCTCTCTTATGAGGATTAATGTCCTAAATCTGGAATGTCCATTGGGAGTATAATATCATGCATAATTTCTTATCTATGTGAATTTCTCCCCCAGTCACTGCTGAGAGTCAAAGGAATGAACAACAACAGAAAGGAAAGAAGCACTAGACTAGAGTGATGAACAAAACCAACACAGTAATTAAAAACAACTATAAGAACATGGATTTCAATTTAAAGCTAAGTAGTAATAAGCTTTTGGAAATGTAGTAGTAAGCTTTTGGAAAGAGAGTAGCAAAAAGATTTTGAGTTTTAACATATAGAAAGTTCTATATAGTGTGAGAGAAGCACTGGACTATTGGAGAGAGGAAAGCCCTCTACTGTCTCTGGGCGATTCAGATCACATGTGAGCACTATAATCTCAGCACCACACTCCAGAGCTATGTTAAGAAATGTGGTCAGATCTGTTCAAGTAGTTGATAAGAATGGGATGGAAGGCAGTACACAGTACCTGTCATTGCGGCTATGTGGGAGTGAAGATCAGGAGACCGGAAGGACAATCTTTGTCTGAGGATAGTGTTGGGCAAAAACACAAGGCCCTGCCTGAAAAATAACTAAAGGAAAGAGGGCTGGGGCATAGCTTAGCTGGTAGAGTGCCTACCTAGCAAGCATGAGGCCCTGAGTGCAAACCCCAGTACTGTTAAAAATTGAAAACAATGGTAATGGATATGAAAACCCTATTAAATGAGGAAGATTAAATGATACAAGAATAATGGATTAGTGGGAAAAAAAATTCAGGCTAGAGGTCTATTGCAGTGATCAAGGAGAACCAATCAGAATCAGAGGTCAGACAGTGGCAGCTTTCAACTTGGTGTATAATAGGAGGAATTTTACTGAGCAGGGAACCCAGGCTCCATGCCCATTGCAAGTGTTGAAACAGAGGCTGACAGTGGCAACCAAACCTGAGGGAAAACTAAAAAAGTATCAAGGGAAATGCCCAGGAATTAGAATGGTGAAATCTTGATGAAAAACTAGATTTGTTCTGGCCACTAGAACACCTAGCAGAATAACTGTACAAGTTATTATTGCACTGGGAAAAAGTCTCAATAGAGACTTTTATATTCTCTATAATTTCTAAATACTGACTGAATAAGTCATACCATCTAGCAATATTTTTCTATCATCTAAGGAGATTAATCCACCCTCAGAGCACAGAATAACCACAATTCATGCTAAACTTAACATAGGATGATTTCTAGAGAATAGAGGTCTAAGTTGTCATGTGGAGATATAAGCACTCTCAAGTACTTTAGAAATGTAATCTTTGTAGATTTTCTGATGCACGATATACAATGAGGAGGGTGTCTATGCTACCCATCCTCAATAAAGGTTGGAGAGTAGGACTAAGAGGTGGCTCAGAGTTAAGTGAAGAAATTGGGGAGTCATTGGGTTCCTAAACCCTGGCACAATCTACCCAGGGAGGCTGAGCAAGCATTGTCCTCCCTATCACCTCATGTTGGAGAACTCTAAGGTTCTGTAAGCACAGGACATTCCTCCCCCTCCCCACTTCACATGCGAAAGGAAATGTAAGTGCTCACTGTCATTTCTCAGGAAATTGTTAAGCAGCTGGAAAAGAGGAAAACTATCCCAGGAGTCCTGTGGTTGAGCCTCCAGTGCCGTGTCCATATCTACTGTGAATAAAGCCCAAAATTTCTCTGCATGCTCAGCCAGTAAGTCAGGCCACCAGGCAAATGCCTACAAGAGGATAAAGAAATAAGGTAGAAGTAGATGATTTGTTAGGACCACACATAAATACTCTGCCACCTGAACACACTTGACAATATGTCTTAGCTTCACAATGACAAACAAAATGCAATATTTTTAAAAGGTAAGACATTTTATAGGTACACATACTGGTAAACTTGGCATTGAATAAAATACGATATCTAAAATAGACATTTGTTGATTTATAAATGAGTCACATATTTAATTTATAACATCTGACAAATCTATAACAGAAAAAAAAGAAAAATTCCATGAATATTACAATTTAAACACAATTACTATTAATATTTTTGTATATTTCCAACATTTCTTTTTTCCTGTGGATAGAAATATTAGATGTTAGAATATTAACATGCTAAAAACTACCACACAACTAACAGATGGTAAACTGACATAAAAGTTGACTTAGGGAAAGAAATATAGTATACAAATAGATTTAAGTGTTAGGGATGTTTTACTGTCTAGGTCAATGTTGTGATAAATCAGTATGAACACAGGTTGGGAATGGTATGTTCTGTGTAAATTGAGCATAGCTATTACCTTTGAAAGATTTTTGGTTAACTATGATTTACAGATAGTTACATTACAATCTAATAATAGAAAGTAAAGGACATCCATGATTTCACTACATTCATCTTCCTCCTGCCTTTTGGAGATGAAGCTAAAACTAGAACCCGAGATTCCTCACTGAGTAGAGCAGTATAGAAACCATGGTAAAAATGCAGCACTGCAAAGAGAGACATTTTCAAAACCTCACTTCCATTTCACAGCCAATACCTTTGCAGAAGGTTAAAATTAAGAAAATAACAGATGTGCCACATAAGGATTGTTTCGGGACTGAGGAAAATCACTAAAGCTCATTTGAAAGTTAACTTGAGGGCTAGGGAGCAGCTTAAGTGGTAGAACACCTGCCTAGCAAGTATGAGACCTTGAGGTCAAATGCCAGTACTGCCTAAATAAATAAATAAGGTTAACTTGAAAGACAGAGCCAGGGGAATAAAATACAACAATATAACTTTTAAAAAAACAGCTTTATGATTTTGCCATCAACTAGAAAATTTCATTGCTTTCTGGAAGGATTTATTTGTCTCCAATTATACTCCTAATGAGTAACAATAAGCCAATCTGTGGTGGATGCCTGCTGTTCTAATGACAACTGGAGAAAGCATTAAGTTACCACATCTTTGAAGATCAAAGCAAGAGTTGCAGTGACTATGAGAACAGGAGCTCAGTTATATACCACTTGTCCCTTCCTGTTTCTTGCCATCCCACTTGGTGGCTGTCATCCCATCCTGGGCTGGGAGCAAGAAGATGGACTGGATCATTTCCTCGCCAGGTAGAGCTTCAACAGCATCAGGTCTCCACCAGAGAGGAGAAACCTCTCTCAGAAATCCATCTTGTTGGTGGGGTGCCAATGAAGTCATCATTATCCGGGTTAAACCTATCTTGGCTCAAATGCTAAGTCACTAATTAGCGTAAATGAGATGGCAGAGGCAGAAGGCAATGCTTAATTTGTTTAAGCGGGAAATACATAAAAAGTAAATCTTGTATGGTGAAAATAGTATATATGGCAGGTGGATAATACTTTGAAAGCCTGGCCTGCTTACTGACTGTAGTTGAAAACACGGGCAGGCAAGAATAAACAGTAACACTGGAAGCAAAGAACTGAGCTTTAGAAGTTAGTGGTAAGATATGATTAATCAGAAGCACATCAGTTCTCTCACTGGATTTCCATTTCCTCATCTGCAAGTTGCCTAGTACAATACTTGTCCTAACCTCCCCCAGAGCTGTTGTAAAGATCAAATCATTATGAAAATTTCTTGCTGTACAAGTGTGAGTACTGTTATTGGCAATTACTAAAATGTGCTGATATTTACTTACAGATCTTATAATGTGAGTTTATGTATTTAGAATAACGTTCAATAATTTAATAGTGAATTAAATAGTTTCTATGTGCCAAGTACTGTTCTGAAAGTTTTATAAACATTATCTTATTTAATCCCACCAAAACCCTTTCAGGTAGGTGGTATAATTATCCTTATTTTATGATAGCAAACAGATTAAATAACTTGAACAAGGTCATAAAGTTGGTATGTATTAGGGTGATGATTTAAATCCAGATTGGCTATAGTCTAGAGGTCAAGCTCTAGCACAAGTAGCCTCTTTTTTAGTAACTATATATGAAGCTCTGACTTGTGTGTGTGTGTGTTTGTGTGTGTGTGAGTGTACCATCATTCATCCATCTACCAGCTATGTTTTGCAGATTAGAACACTGTTAGCATCCTTTGATTTCTTCCTGCCAGGAACATATATATGGTCTGATTTCTTTTTCTTTGGCAGACCTGACTTCTTTTTCTTTGGCAGACCTGGGGTTTGAATCCAGTGCTTCAGACCTGCTAGGCAAGTACTTTACCACTTGAGCCACTCCACCAGCTGGTCTTATTTCTTTATATATTTTCTAACTTCTCTAAGGTCTGAGCCTTTTGGTTTCTTTTACTCTCAAAATAATAAAAATGCATAATTTAAAACAAAAAAGGAGGATGACTATATAAATGAACAAAAGCAGCAAGCCAGTCTTCGAAATATATTATGTTTCTTTTTCCCCAAGAGTAGATAAGTTTGCAATCCTGTAATTTATGGATGATTCTAAAAGGTCTGGAGATAATACAATATCAAGGTTTTCCTAGCCCCTGCCATATATATATACTTACATGCAGTGCAATGTAGAAAGCCATATTCCAGGAATACCCTGGAATATTCAGGGTGACTAGAACATTCAGGGTGACACCTGAACTACTGTCAAACTTATCATAGACTCTTCACAATTCTTTTGGCTCACTATTTTGATTATTTCCTTGGTAATCAGTTTCACACATAAACATAAATACTGAAATAACCAAGAAAGGATGAGCTCAAGAGGCTCCAGAACATATCACAGTATAAAGTATTTATTCTTATGTATATAAAAATTAAATACCTAGCAATAAATTTAACCAAAGCATTGAAAGATCTCTACAATGGAAACTATAAATCATTGACGACAGAAGTTGAAGAGAACATAAAGAAATGGAAAGACATTCTACATTCATGGGTTGGAAGAATAGCATAAATGTCCATACTACCCAAGTCTACCTACACATTCCACGCAAAATATTCCAAACAGCCAAAGCAATCCTGAACAAAAACAACAAAGATCAAGGGGCTGGAGGGAGGTGTGGCTCAAGTGGTATAGCGCTTGCCTATAAGTGCAAGATCCTGAGTTCAAACCCCAGTACCAACCTCCCACAAAACAAAACAAAACAAAATAGCACCAGGCATTGTACTACCTGAATTAAAAAAATATTATACTGTTACAGTAATCAAAACAGCATGGCATTGACATAAAGAGGAGACTTAGATCAATGGAACAAACGGAGACACACTGTGAAGAAAGGACAGGCTTTTCAAAAAATGGTGTTGGAAAACTGGATACGCACATGTAGAAGAATGAAACTAGACTCCTATATCTCACCAGTTTCAAAAAACAATTCAAAGTGGATTTTACATAATTATAAATCAGAAATGATGAAACTGCTAGAAGGAAACACAGGGGAAACACTTCATGATATCGGAAGAGGCAAGGATTATTTGGATATGACCCCCAAAAAAACAGGAAGCAAAAGCAAAAGTTAAAAAAAATGGGATTATATCCAACTAAAATACTTCTGCACTGCAAAAGAAATAGTGAACAGAGTGAAGGGACAACATACAAAATGGGAGAAAATATTTGCAAACTATGTATCCGACAAGGGTCTAATATCCAGACTATATCAGAAAAAAGCTCTAAAATTCATATGGAAACACACACACACACACACACACACATGTTATTGGGCAAAAAGAACAAAGTACAAGGCATTATACTACCTGACTTAAAAATATACTATAAAGTTATAGTAATTAAAACAGCATGGCACCAGCCATCATAATACATATAGTAATACCAGGAGGCAGGAGATTGAAGCAGGTGGCCAGCCTGGGATACATAGTGATAAACTGTCTCAAAAAGAAACAAATAAGCAAGCAAACAAACAAAAAACCCAAAACAAACAGATAAAACCCAGCATGGTACAAAAAAAAAAAAAAAAAAAGAGAGAGAGACAGACCACTGGAACAGAGTAGAGTTCAAAGAACTCAATAATAATAATTTTTAAAAATCTGATTTAAAAGTGGGCAATAGACCTAAATAAATAATTCTTAAAGGAAGACATACAAATAGGCAACAGGTATATGAACAAGTGTTCAACATCACTAAGTAAAGGAAATTCAAATCAAAATCAGATTTAAGATATCACTTCATGCCGGTTAGAAGGGCTATTACCAAAAAGAACAAATGCCGGTAAGGATGTGGAGAAACAGGTGAGAATGCAAATTCATACAGCCATTATGGAATGGAGTATGGAGGTCCCCCAAAATTAAAAAGAGAACTACTGTATGATACAGCAATCCCACCATGGAGCACATACCCAAAGAAAATGAAATCAGTAAGGTGAGGAGACTGCTGTACTCCCATGTTCATTGCAGCATCACTTATAATAGCCAAGAAATGGAAACAGTCTAACAGTACCAACAACTGCTGAGTGGATAAAGAAAGTGTAGAACACATACACAACACAATACTAATCAGCTGTTTAAGAAAGGATGAAATCCTGACATTTGTGACAACATAGAAGGAACTGGGGGTGATAATAAAAGTAAAATAAACTAGGCACAGAAATGTAAGTATGGTATGATCTCACTCAGATGTGGAATCTAAAACAGTTTATCTCATTGAAGTTGAGAGTAGAATTATGGCTACCAAAAGCTGAGGAGGGAGGGAGAGGATAGGGAAAGGGTGACCAATGGATACTCAGTTATAGTTAGACAGTAGAAAGAAGTTCTGATGTACTATAGTACAGTAGGTTGACAATGCTAGTGCACTGAATGTTTTTCAAAGAAACTAAAAGAAAGGATTTTGAATGCTTTCACCATTTGAAAAGACAAATGCTTGAGGAGACAGATATGCTTGAAAATTACACAATGTTTACATGTACTGAAACACACATGGTACACATAAATATGTACAATTTATATGTATCCGTTAAAAGAAAAATAAAAAAAGTAAGAATTATTAAACTATTAACAAACATATTTGGGTAGGGTATTCATGCATATGCAATTTCCTCAGAGAATCACCTCTGCAAATAGAATTCTACAGTATGTCCTAAACAAATGAAAATCACTTGCTAATCTCCCCAACTGAAAGGCTGATATAACACATTAAATTTAAATTTACATCCATTCTTAAAAGAAAAAGTTGGTTTATCTTACTGTCTACCCAAATATAAATGATATGTAATTAAGGTAAGTTTAACTCTTAAGATAATTATAATCTATTAGTAGTAGATAGTAAATAGATAACATTCATGGGTCAATTATAACCAGATTTTAATATATTCCTTACATATACATGCAAGTGGAGAGAAATAAAGACAACAAATAAGCAAAAAGAAATGGGAAAGAATGTAATACTTTTCCTTACATGTTTGAATCCATTCAGAAGCTAAATTTGGTTCAAATACTGATGCTTATGGTAATGAGTACGTCTAAACATGTCTGTCTGTGATGAAGTCCTCCCTCTGTCCTGGCTCTATTGCTGGAGCAGTCTGGGATCAACCACGTGCAGTGAACATAAGGCTGTCAACATTGCAAAGACCATACTATTGCCAAAATTATTCTTGTCTCTGTTGTCTCTGACAGAGCAGATGACATTGTATTTAGATGTATTAGGGGCTTCAAGTTGAAATCTTGCTATAATTATAAACAGCAAAGTACCAGTCTAAGCTGTACTCACAGTGATCACGCTGCTCCCTCAGTCTCTCTGTTGATTCTCTTAACTCTGTGAGTTCTCGGCCAGGATAGAGCACAAGTGCAGAATTATAAATGGAAGAGGACAGTTCCAGGCCTGCTCTGTAATCCTCCCCATGCATTTATATCCCTGCTATGATGCTGCATGCCAAATCCTTCAGCAGAACCAGGGCTATTCTACTTAAGCAGGGAAATAACAAATATGGTCTATTAGAAAGTGCCTGGTCTTGGAGTCTGGACTGAGCATTCATCAAGTCACTAATCAGTGATGTACTTCTGGCAAGATGGTCAACTTGTGTGGGTTTGTTTTCTTATCAGAGAAATGTTATGTGTGGAAGGGGTATGTTGGTGAGAGCCAGTGACCATCCCAGTAGGTATTGGGACTTCCCAGCTTTGTCAAAGTGAGAGTGGTTTTTGATGCAGAGTTGTCACATTAGTTTGTGTGAAATAACTGGTCCGATGTGGTCTGGTCACTGCCATGTGGAGACAGCCTTAAAGACTTTTCTAGAAAGGAGCTTAAACCATCTTTTTAAGGCAAAAACACAGGAATTCTGAAGAGAAGCCTCAGAGCAGAGGTTGAAAGGCCTTCAGAGAGAAGGAAGACTGCCTTATGAGTAACTGTCAAGGATCTGAAGAACACAAACCTGCTTAACTGAAAAATTGTTGAAGTTAGAAACAACCTCTTAGCCCTGTAAAGTAAACTGCTGCTGTGGAGGGAAGCAGAATGAAAAGGAAAGGAGCTGACACATGAGCCACTTGAAGGTCTCTTTGAGGCAGATATATTAACCTCCCCCAAGGGAGCTGAGCTAGGCGACGTTTCATGGGGTAAAGAAACTCTGGCTGAACATCCAGTAAAATAAATCTCAGTGTACAGTGCAGTGCACCAATGTACTCCAGAAATGACTCTGCAATCAGACCAAGTCACTCTCCAGTACTGCTCAGAGAAAAACTTAGATATGGTTTAAGGCAAAACAAGACAAAACAATCAAAGATATAAAACCAAAGTAAAAAATTTTCAGTTGTGCTTAACATTATGCATGCAATTATTTAATAAGACACATTCACCTGTGCAGTGTAACAAAGATTAGCCCATACACAGAAAAACAATCTTTAATTGCAAGGAAAGAACTAAGTTGGCTTTAAAATGATTATAATCCGAGTGGGTTCCCTTTTAAATTTCACATAAAAGAATTATCTTATGCTAGAAAATAGTGGAAACAATTTTACTCACCTCTCTTCCCTGGGGAATTCCAAGAATTTGGAAGCATCGTGGAATAGAAAAATGCCATAGTGTTACAAAGTATTTTAAAAAGAAATATCATAATAGGTTTAAATTTTATCTCAGCATATCGCAAAGTAATACTTGCGTGTTATTATTTCTTTCAATAAAGTCAATTGCATTTTTGTTAATTCAAAAATAAATAATACCTACCTTTAATTGCATTTGATATGTTAGACTTCAACAAGCATTTTTAGTGAATATATGGGGTGTTAAATGACATTTGATTTTTAATTTCTATCAAATATTTGGGAATACTAGATATATCTGTTTAGCTGAACTGTATACTGTAATTGGATAGCCAATCAGATTTTTTTTAATTTAGAAAGGCCTAATACTCTTATAATAATGTCTTTCAGTAAAAGAAAAAGACAAAACACACATGTATTTTATCACCTAATCATTTTCATTGTAACTTAGCAGTGGTACTAGCCTAGAAAAGACCCTCTTGGGAATTCATTTAAAATTACTGAAGCAGCTGTTTCTTTAGTTTAAAATAAAATATCCATAACAAGTTCACACATGACAGATGCAAGCTAAAAACTAGATTCCACGTGTGAGCTGAAAGCAGATGCTTTGAATGATCATATCTATAACCAGATACAATAAATCTTAGTTACCTGTGGTAAGGTTTCATGAGTACTCTTTCTCAAGAATTCACTAAAATATAGATCCTGTACTTGTATTTTGCAATAATTAGGTTTCATTAATATAAATATTCTATAAATTTGTTTGTATCTGCTCTATTTTCTTTCTGCTCTTTGCATGTGCTTCTTCAAGAATGAAAGCATTGTTCGGGCACTAAAGTTTATTACATTTGATTAATTCTACACATTTCCCCCACCCAACTCAAAGTCAGGAAATTACTTTGTTTTTGTAAATAAGCTCATGACTATTAAAAAGAGGGAGAATTTTTAACTGATAATAAGCATGTGTCTGGGTGAAAAACCACTCTAGGTCTGCAGTAAATGTAAATATGTAATTTAACCTTTAAAAATTTGGCTGGGAATATAGCTTCATCTAGTATTTGAGTCCTTAGATTTGATCCCCAGCATCAACAAGCAAACAAATAATACAGGTTTAGTAAAAATTTAAAAGTTTAGTGGTTAGAAGGGAAAACAAATTATTGAATATACAACCATGAATAGTGGTTCAATTTTATCTTAAAGATTATCACACATTTTCCTTTTTAATTTTGATTAACTTACATTTTCAAACTTAAGTGATCATAGCATAAGAGTAAAAGGAGGCAGTGGGGCATCGTAAGAGGAGTGGGCTCCAGCTTTGGGTAACACTCTTATTTCCTGAGACTGACCCCATAAGCTCTCCCAGGGTCCTTACAATATAATTATTGTTGAAAGCAAACATGAAATTATACATAGGCACACAACGGCTTTGTAATTTATAGGAGTCACATTTTCAGGAAATACACATGTGCTCTCAGCTTTCTGCAGGTGAATGGGCAGATGTGCATCAAGACTATGGTCAAGCTACTTTTTCAGAGTTGCTCCCAATCTGACAAGGCCTTAAGAAGAGCTTTACACTACAGTCAAAGGAAGTCATCACCTCTGCATGATGTTCTTCATTCTGCTGTAAGACTTCTATGCAGAGCTCTGCCAGATGAAGAACCTCTTCTAGCTTCCTGGCAGGAGTTGCCTGGTTCATGGTCTCTATATATAAAAAGAAATTGTAATGTTACCTTGAAAATACAAAGCCAAACATACCTAAGATGTGATGATGAGATCAGAGTGTTGAAGTAGGATGAGAAAGCATACTTTTGAGAGATAAGGGATGCAAGAAACATAATTGAATATATTATTTTTTAAAAGCCAGTTCACCAGATTACAGAAAATATTTCACAGGGATCTGCAAGTGCTTTGCCATTTAGTACAGCAGAGCTAACAGGTGTAGCAGCACATTAGATGCTCAACTCCTGCAGCAAACAAGTTAAAATTCTCTCAAGGTCAGGGACACAGAGCGCAGATACTGCAGCCTTTCCCTTCTCTCTGTATTGTATCATCAGCACAATGCCATTCTCACCAGATGAGTCATTCCTGGCATCAGCAAAAGCCAGGCTTTGTTTTTTTGTAGTTGCTATTTAAATTCCCAGCCTGACCGTCTATAGTTCATGTTGATCTTAAATTCAAGCAGTACAAAGTCACCTGAAACAACTCTGACAGCCTGCAATTAACTGATTTCCTCCTCTGCTTCCCTGCCACCATCCCAGCTTACCTTCCAAGAGTGGGGGTAGAGCTAGGGAAGGGCAAAGGCAATCTTTGAAGCTGAAGGTTCTTTCAGCATTAAGCCAAACTGGTATAAAAAGGACAGACCACAGTAAGATTAAGTGCAGCTACCCAAAATTCAGCAAAAGGCAAAGGACTTGATTTCAAAGATACAACAAACTGGTAGAATGCTAGATGTGCCCAGTGCAATGAAACTGTTTCAAGACTGAATATGAAAAACAGAGGCTTTTGTTTTGTTTCCTGATTTATTTTTGCATTCTGGGGATTGAACTCAGGGCCTCACGCTTGCTAGGCAGGTGCTCTACCACTTGAGCCATGTTCCCAGCCTTTTTTTTTTTTTGCTTTACTTATTTTTTGAATGGAGTTCCACGCTTTTGTCCAGGTTGGCCTGGACTTCAATCCTGCTGGTCACAGCTTCTTCATAGCTGGGATGACACCGGTTTCAAGAACATTTCAACGTTTTCAAATGAGGCTAATGTCAAGGAGGCTCATGACTAAACACAACAGTCCATTCCACATGGGGGCAACTCTAGCTGTTTAATCAAAAACAAGACCCTTCAGAAAAGTTTGGAAAAGATGTGAAGCAAACACATTAGTGGTGCAGGAGCTGGGAGGAGAGAGACTGCTGAAAGCTGGTGGGCTTAGAGGAGACATGGGGGAAGGTGAGCCTGAAGCATGGTCAAGCAGGGTTAACAAGTGACCTGGTAACATGAAGAGGGGTTTCTAGGGAAGAGAACTGTATGACAAATGAGGTTCATTTCAGAAGATGATGATTACAAATGTTTCTTGAGAATCATTTATGTCAGACACAACCAATCACTTTCCACATTATCACACTAATTTTCCTAACAGCTTTAAGCCATCTGTTTCTTGATTCATATAACTCACAGGTAAAGAGACATGCTCAAAGAGATGAACCATAACTGCTAAAACATGGTGAAGATAAGAATATGTTGGGCTTTAATGTCTGTCATGTACCTATCTGGATTGAGCAGGAATGTGCTGCAGATGATGGGTGATCATGGTAGGCTTTAGGCAAGATAATACATAGACTGGATGACTTTACTGAAAATTTGGTGCAAATATTTCTTAGCCCAGTCTCAGAATAACTTAAACATTAGAACAATTTGATGGTATTTGGTGGTTGTATGCAGCAAGGATTGGTGAGGGTGTGTGACATGGGTCCTGAGGCACCCTGTGTAGTAGTTGAATCATGGAAAGATGATAGTGGAATAGAAAAGGGGAAGATGCAAGAGACACTTTTAAGGAAGAGTCAGTCATCGATAAGCCCAACAAATGCTAAGAATCACTGAACCAGATAATCTCGAAGATTCCTTCCAGCTTAGAGAAGCAATGCTGCCTATAAATTTTGAGCTTTATTTTTTTTGAATTGTGCTGTTTTCATGTATTTCTATATATGGTCAACAATTTTTTCATAAGAAAAGGGAAAGGCAAAAAAGTACAAAAAATTTAACTACAGGCGAGGAGTGTATTTTTCTACATATTTTAGAACATTACATACTCATCTCCTCATAATCAATCTACAGATCAGGGAAATGCATTCCCCACTTGCAGAACATCAGAAAGGGTAAAGCAGGTGTCCAAGGTTATGTAACTACTGGCTGTGATAGGATTAAAATATCACCTTTTAAGGACTTGAATTCCTTCTCATTTTCAGTCTTTTGATTAGGAGTAATACACACACACACACACACACACACACACACACACACATACACACACACACCTGAATACACATACACAAATATCCCTGGCCACAACTATGCAACAATGAGAAAAAAATCACAGGAATAACCTCAAGACTTATTTCTGCTTATATATTAATGTTTTTAAACCAACTTTTACATTTGATATTATCTTAAATAAAACCTTAGCAAGAGTACCGTTTTCTAGGTGAAACTTAAAATGTCTAAAACATTTTATTATTCCTAGACTTTGTACTCAATGCAATAGCCACTTTTAATACTTTTAAAAAACAGCATTTTTACCAAGCACAATATGTATGCCACCCCGGGTTTTTACCCATTTTTCTACAGCCAAGAAGTTTAATGCACTCCATAGTCATAACTCTATTATATAACAAGGTTATCAATAGCTCCATTAAAAATCTGAACACTGAATATTTGAGAATTCTTCCTTAAGATGTTTACTTTCACTCTTTTTGAAACATTTCTGCATCATTACAGATGTTCACTATATTCTTCAAGCTTCACATCAAGTTGCTGGTTGTTGTAGTACATTTCAGATAGTGACATTTAAAACACATATGCCACAAGCAGCAGGTTTCTTGATGAATTTCAAAGCATTGCTCTTGGCTATGATCCTTTTTCATTCTGGAACATTTTTAGTTTTCTATGATAACACTCCTTGGCTCCCTAAAGCAATTCTTTTAAATTATACCTCTGTACATTAAGAAGAGAATCCACGGGTGAAAATGGAGGAAGATAGGAAGTTGTAAGAAGACAGATTGACTGTTTTGCTTTAATTCTGCTCCATGGCTTCAGAGAGGATGCAGACTGCTAAGATATTGTCCTTGGCTGCCACTTATTGTCAAGGTCCTTAGTGATGGATGATCAGTGATGTTCATGGTGAAGGTTGCAATGGTACATAGGAAGACCAGTAAGATCACTTCACCTTCTCTTTCTCCATATATGCTATGCAGAAATTTATAATGCTTTTTTATTTTTAGAATATCTAATTGATAAAATTATATACGTCCCAAATAAGCATTATGACTTAATGTTCATGTTATACAATGCTTATTGTCAAATTGATCAGAAGATTTTAAGTGTCATTAATACACACACACACACACACACATACACACACACACAATGATTAACTTTTCAAAGCCTGATTGCAGCTGTCCTTGCAGTTAAACAAGAAGCAATGCTTATGATGGTGTTAGCCTGAAAGACTGTAATAATAATCCCATCCCAATATGGCTCTGTCTTCTTTGCTTTCTTGAATTTAGGCCTTGATGACCTGCTAGGGAATAATAATAATAATAATAAACTTTGTATGTGCACTCATGTTTCTTTTTGATTTCCTAGCTACCCAGATTCTGTGGTCTTGAATTTGATCAACAAATGTTTTTTTACATGCAAGGTAGTATACTAGCAAATGAGGGACACAATGATGATTAAGATAATATTTCTAATATCAAAGAATTTATGTGTATCTTTCCCTAACCAGGTTATAAAGTAGAATATGGCAACATACCATCCATTTTTTGTTAATATGATGAAAATCTGAATAGAGGATCAATTAAATGCATTCAGCATGCAAGAATTGGATTTTTAGCTTAAAAAAAAATAGAATGAAAGATGCACCAACAGGAAGGCTTTAAATTGCTCTTGTATGGCCCATGGAGTTCTTCAGAATGAAATAGTTTTAGTGGGTGTGTTTGAGTTTAGAAAGCTAGCAGCAGCTCAACACAAAGTCTCCCACCTTATTCTTTCTCCCATGCAAAGAAAAACTCACTCTTCTATTGCTGCTTTATCCTCCCAACATAAATCACGTGGGTGATGAGAAAGTCCTGGCATTTAGGGGATAGCTGAGGTCATAAATATGAAACAGTTATGAGGAACTCTATGAAGTTCCTCATAGAGAATGTGTGGAAAGAATGGGATAGCATATGAAATTGATCACTCTCCAGTGAGTGGAGTCAAAGGCAGGTCTACAGTTTTGAAGGAGTTGGGATGTTGCAATACTCCCTGAGCCCTGAGCAAGGAGGCTTCACCTTGAGATATTGAAAAGAAAAGAAAGGTGGGCCAAGGATACCACATCTGAGTTATTCTACATGGAACCTCAATGGTCAACCAGAGGCAAGGACTGTCCAGCTGCTTCTCTGTCCTCAGACACAGCTAAAGAAATCGTAGAATAGATCACTTCATTTATTCCTCCTCTCACTAAAGTAGTAACTGCTTCTCCACTCTCCACTTCACAGAAATATAAGGCAACATTTCTAACAAGTTGCCAGGTGATGTTCATGATGCCAGCCTGGGGAATGCATTTTGAGAATGACTAGTGCTTACAAAAAACAAATTTAACAACAAAGGCAACCTATGTAAACATCTAACCCTACCCAATACTCTCTCACCAGACTATTATGGGCATATAATTTGTTCCAACTGAGAGATCAGACAATATAGTCTTAGTCAACTCCTCTGTAAGTTGCCTTCTGCTCACTCATAACTATAAATCACTTCAGGCTACCTTTGCTGGCTCAAGAAATTTCTTCTGGCTCCCTAGGCTGTCATAATTTGAATCTTAACTCTTATCTGATGTCACTATTCTTCCTCTTTGCGTGGCTCAGTGGAAAAGTCTAAATTTTCATTGAGGCTTTCTTTCCCCTTTTCCAGTTTTAGACATAGGAACCTGAAGTAAGGAACATGGTGCCAGAG